AATCTTTTAGTTCACTATATCCGGAGTTCGGTATATAGTGTAGTGGTTTGGTATAAAGAGGGCCAACTGTATACGTTTTCATGAATATTTGATTTTTAATTCTCTGTTAGGTGCCTTGAACCACTATTCATGCTCTCAAACCTTAATTCGTGGCGTGGTTTCAAGTATTTTATAATATCCAATCATCGTATCATACGAACACGTGATTACCTGTTTATAATTAGCCCAATCCTATTTAAAAAAAAGCATCGGGCTTTTTATAGAAACATTATTTTAAAAACTGAGCACTACAAGATTATCAGTAAATTGCGCTTCTATGGAATACGAGATCAGTTCTATATCAAATGGGTTGTTGCCCAACAAAACCATATACTCAAAGCATGGCTTTGCTAGGCAGCAACCCAAATGATATACTGTATTTATTATGTAATACATCTTTCTTTTTTTATATTTAATTCCTAACATTTGAGTGAACATTTCAATGTTTGAGGATATTTACAAATCCTGAAAGTTTGTAGGATTTGAAAGTACTTTTTAAACACCGAAATCGGCTAGATCTTCTAAAAAAAACCAGGAAATTGTAATCATCCGATTTTTTTGGATTGGCTTTTATTAAAAAGTTATTGCAGCAATGACTAATTCGAAAACGTCTTTAAACACAGAGATTATCTAGGTTCTTGTCGAAAAAAAAAGATATATATATAATTATAAATCGTTTATTCTTGGCTGAAACTTAAATCAAATGCAGCATAGCCTACACCATTAATAAAAATTGATTATTAATCAGTTGATTGATGTTATACTGCATTTGATCCTATAGAATTTGAAATGTTAAGATCCATGCTCTTGTTGGGACATCTTTCGTCTAAAAATTTACACGGTGATTGCAGCTATTCTCAAATTCTGTAACCCGTAAATCATTCTAACGGTTGATGGAGATAACGACGTAGTTTACAAAGAGTGAGGTGTTTAGACGATTTGCAGGACGAAACAGATAAGATTTCGGATAACGAGTAATTTTTTAAATTTGTCTCAGAATTTACGAAAGTATATTCTACCAACCGAACTAATCTTGATCGTTTAATCATGTGATGCCATCGATTTACTATGTTATGGAGATAATGACACTTTGAATGCTGGGTAAGTATCCGGATTATGTATCATGATTCATAATTTAATATCCCTATTATAATCAAGCTAAAAAAAAAAAAAAAAAAAGACTGCATTTATGCAATCAATCCTCGTTAACTTTAACATTACCTCGTTATTAGTAACATTGACTATATTATAGATGAATGGTGTGAAATTTAATATAGCAGCCAATCAGATGTTAGATAGCCACCAGTTTCACCAGCATTATTTAGTTTCACCAGCATCTATTTAGACTATATCATGAGAATAAAAATTCTATTTTTTTTCCGATCACGACAATTACCAAATTCGTTGACGCGATAAGTTTCACAAAATGCACTATTCCAAATTCCAAATCTATCTAGTTCATTTGAATATTTTGTTCCGCTGATAATCTATTAAGGTCTCAATTAGGTATAGGATTTTGCCATAAGTTTTCAAATCTGTTAGTGCTATTTATACTATAGGGTCAGGTTTCTCCACGACTCTTTAGTGTGAACGTACTATTTAGCATGGGTTCCTACATCTAATAATCTATTTATATCAGCAAGCACCACTTTATACTTGATTATGCGAAGAGATTCTCACGATTTTTTTTAGCGTATGATTTGGAACATCTTTTAACAATCATTTTAGTTTCACAAATACCTTTTTATATTACCAATTATGTCATAAGTTTTTCCACACAATCCGCTAACTAGATTATTTGGTTTATTCTATTTTCATCTGCTACGTAGTACATCCTTTAGCTTTATTTGCACTAAATTCACGATTATCGATATGCAGTAACGGTAAAAATACGTACTTTACAAAACATCTTAACACTAGTTAAAACATTTAATTTTAATATCCTATTTAAGTCATTATATTGACCGATTTGATGATAAGCATTTAATTTCAGTAAGCCCAATGCGATAAGAGTTTGCAATGCTTTATTTAATGCTTTTTATTTAAGTCATTTTAATAGATTTAATTAATAATCGCTCTTTATAATATCTATTAAACGACCAACTTTCCCAACGTAGATGTTCTATTTCTGGTTTCACTCTATAATTACTCTTGAACAATATTTTGAACAATACGAGGTTTTTTTTTCTTTACAAATTTTGATTTTGCTTTTTTTACTCGGTGTGATGAATTAGACCAAAGTTATTTCGAGAATAAATATTTCATAAACATTTATTATTAATGAAAGATACGTACATATACGTAACAAATTCTATTAATAGCGATTTTTAATTATCATATGACATTGTCACAAACTAATTATGGCTTAGTTGATTATTCTAATTTCTGATTGGCTAGCTTCCATCAATCAGCACAATAAAGTGTGTATGTCGATATCCGCAACACATTTAAAGTATTCTATATAGTACGCAAGTATATAACTTAACTAATGTACGTATTTTATGTTCTCTCAATGTTTTATATATAATAGTCCAGATTTGTCAATTACTGATCGACTAAGCTGATAAAACGATTGACATTAGACACTAGCGCTAACCGGAAATATGAAAAAAATTGATGTTAAACCCTAATGTATACAAACCCCAATTCGTATTACCGTTACTTAAATTTGTAATAAATGAAATAAAACCTGGTATCGTTAAGATTAAACCTCGTGTGCAACCTGATTTAATTGCAAAATATAAAATTATTCACAAAAAGCCAAGAACCTGGTTTTCTTTTTTTTTAATAGTAATAATAATAATAATAATAATAATAATAATAATGATAATAATAATAATAATAAAAGTATATTTAAATAACCAAATAATATATAATATTCAAAAAAAATAGATCGAATATTTGATTTGATGATAGTACGCAAAAATATTAGAATGGTAATTAAAATGGTTTCTTATTGTCGCAAGAAAAATCATTCTGTATATTTCACGTCTCTGTGTTCTCTTTAAAGATCGTTTGCAATTTATAAAATGCTTTATTAATGTTGTACGTCAAATCGATATCCAAATCAGATTAATTAATATCTAAATCAAGATTAGAATTCGCTAATTCTTATCGTTATCTTTACCGTAAAAAGTGTGGGGGTTAAAAAAACGGTGATACTTAATTGACATCACATTTAATAATTTATTAAGAATTTTATTTTTTAATAAACCATGGTGTATGACATTTTGATTTTTAGCACCTATAATCCATTATTAATCGTAAATTTACCGTTAGTTGAGGTGCCTCTAATGAATTTCGCAATTTAATTAGGAGTACGATATTAACACACTAAATCGACCTTTTTTTTTTTATCAAAAATAAGATAAAACAAAATAATAATAAAGTAATAAAGCAATGGATCAATCGTTGACGAATACAAACATAGCGGCAAAAACCTAAAGGCTAATTTGATTAGAATGTATCAAATTAACAATGTGTTACATAAACAAGTTTTTTGATTCGTAAAATTATATATTAACAACGTTAAAGTTTATCACAACACAATTATCTCCATAGAATACGTACGATTTCTTCAATAATGGTTTACTCGGAAATATGTACGCGTACATGCGTTACCTATGTATAATATAAATTATTTAATGCTGTACTTATCAAAAATAATTGATCATTAATTAATTGATCTACTAATCCGTTAATTACAATTAACTATATCATACCTTAATAAAAATAATGTAATTAACAGAAAATTTCATTCTCGCGTGACATGCAGAATAACTGCAGCTGTATATATATGATATCCCCACTTGTCTTTTTTTTTTAAAACAATAAATATATTTATCACTACTTTTCAAAAGATAGCGATAGACAATGCGCATCCAAATCTAAATCGAGTTAATTATATTTATATCTTATTTCTGCAGTCGTAGGTTTGAGAAAAGTTTTTCGTATAATCCTTTTTAAACAAATGCGGATATAGTAACTCCGTTATTAAAGTGAACCATTTTCAGAACAAATGTATACTATGTAAGATTTCTATGCATCTTAATATAATATAATATAATATAATAATCAATAAATTTTATAATTATTGTAGTATGTGACAAATAACCAAAATTATTTAGTATTCGACAAACAGGCAAACTGTTTATTTACCTAATAAAATTTGGTGTAACTTTATCGCTTAAAATCCAAATACCCACTTGAAATTTTAAATAATGACTGTTATTTATAGTACTCTGAGAAAAAGGAAACTTTGGGCGTTCTTTTGTGGTCTACGCGGAATACGGTTGTTATTGTGGCTAAATCGTTAAATGATGCCACTTTGGATACTTGGTGTTAGGATTCAATGTTATAGGAAAATTGTAGTTCTTATAAAGTTTATACGTAAAACATTCGGTCATATGGTTATCTTGTACTAAATTTTATTTATGAGATTCCGATCTAAAAAATATTATGTGTAAATGCTACAAACCAATGATAAAGTTTTAGGAATTAATTAAAACAATGACTAAGGATGCAAAAGTAATGTACACAGAATGCTAATTTAACACAACATATTTTTTATTTATCAAATATGCTGATGTTTCTGTCAAATGTAATTTTCACCTTCCTCTCGGGTTTGTACTAGTGCTCCTGTTTCTTGAAAGTTTACTCCTTGTGCTGTATAATGAAAATTCCCAAACTAAGAATAGAATTTATTTTCCTTTTAGAGCTAGGGATAATTAAGGAAAGTCTTTCTTTTTGTATCCGTTTATTTTTATTTCAATCATTGTATAGATAATCCCTTTTCTTTCTATCTTCCTATTATTTCTTTCAATTCCTGTTTATTTTTTTAAATTCCTTTTTTTTTCTTCTTTTTTTTTCCTTCCCCCTTTTTGTTTGTCCTCATTCCTTACTAGTCAAAACGGCCTTCAAAAGTGTTTCACTATTGCTCACCCAATTTAAATTTTCTGATTATGAAAAGTTTTTATTGGGCCGAGCGGGTGTTATTTAGGCTTGTTTCCGTTATAATATTCTCGTTAATACTTTCATCATTCGTTTTCCAGTCGTGTTTAGCAGATGAAATAAATTATCTTGAAGATCCTTCATTTGAAGGATTCCAAATTATACAATATGCGACTTACGATGATGGAACGATCTTGCTTAGAATTCGTCCTAATATCGACGGAAATTGTAAAGGAAGTGGATTATATTTTCGTTTAATACGAACTGATGGAACAATTACTCAAATTACTATAAATAATAGTGCATTTTCCAATTTTTCTCAAAATAATTATTGTTTTGTAAATAATGATGTCGCTTTTACCTTAAAACCTTTGATGGCGTCTACACCTACAAAAAATATCCCAGTCTGGAGAACTGGTTATCTATTTCCTATAGATTATTTGGTTTCTAATAATCCAACCGATAGTATACGAATATATGGAATAGCATCAAATTATATATTAATTTCATATTTATGTGGGACTTCAGATGCTAGTGTTTGTGGACTTTTATCGGATTGGTCTGGAAATATTTTAAGTTCGTAAGTTGAATAATTTGTCAAAAAAAAAAAGCAATCTTTTATATTATATGAATTTATGAATTAATTTTATTCGTTTATTTATTGATTTATTGATGTCGGATTGATTGATTTATTTATTGATTGATTATTGATTGATTGATTAATAAAAATAGAGGCATTAACCTTGGGGATAATTGTAACGATGTAAATATCGCTCAAAATATAAATTCAAATATCGGAGGGTTTTTATGGGTATGTTATATGAATTCAACTAGTCAACTAATATGGAGAAGATTCGGCACTCCGTAAGCTTTTCATTAATTAAAATGTTTTGTGATTTCATATCCGTTTTATTTTTTTTTTCATCAAACTAATTTTTTCATTAATTACCGGACACATCTAAACAATTAATTCTATGGATATTATATAGTGACGCGACTGGTGCAATGTCAACAATAGATGCTGGAAGGATAAATGATATATCAAAATTTAGTCCAAATTATACATCAATATTTCCATTAGAAGATGGTGGTTACGGGATAGTCACTGCTCAATACAATACAACCAATTACACTGCACAAGGTACTTCATATGACCCACCGTGGACGGTGTTTGTATACTTTATTGCAGAAAGTGGTGGTGCAAAAGGACCATTTCAATTATATCAACAGACAACAGAATCATTAGATCAATTAAGAATATTTAGTTGTTCTATATCATTTCAATCTTCTGGATATAATTGTATAATATATGAAGTTATTGTTGGTGCAACAGAACCTGCTTTTACAATTATTGATTTTTTTAGAACTGGTGCTAGAAAAATTAGTAAAATATTTACAATTTCTGGGTTGTCAACTTACCAATTTGTAGTTTGGGATATTTTAAATTTATTTAAAGGTGGTTATTGTGTATTAAGACAAAATATTAATAACTCTGTAATCGATGGTTTGATATATGATAATGATGGTAATTCTAATGGGACTTGGAGAATGCCAACAAATTATACTTATACTAGAAATATTGGTGTATATCCTAATAATACTTTATGGACTGTAGCTAATGGACCTAATAATCTTACTTGGACCCTTGTAACTTCTTCCGCTTTAGCTAATTTCAGAACAGGTAATTATTGGGGGGGTTTTTTTTAATCTTTTTAAATTAAATCGATTTATCATTTAATTTCCTTCTTCCAAAGCTCCGGACCCGGGTGGTTACGGTAATTCATTCATCAGCTTAGTTTCTCCCGGAAATACTTCAATAATTCCTTTGTCAAGCACACCAACTCTAACGATTACATTCACCATAAATATAAATTTATCGTCTGGAAACGTATCAATATATCAATCAAATGGTTCCTTTCCAATACTTCGACAATCATTTCGAGGAACTGATGATAAACATGTTAGATTATTGAGCGGAACTAACGGTAGTACACAAGTACAATTCGACGTGCTGACTAGTACATTTAATCAACGATCGTCGGAATATTTTATTCAGGTTGATAATGCCTTTGTTGAAGATGTTCAAAACCGTCAACCACTTTTAGGCATCAGGCCTTCAGTTTGGACTGTTACTACTACTGGTACGTGGTTCCACATGAATATTTAACTATGATTTATTTATTCTTGGACGTGTTGTTTTGATTTCTTGACTGCGCCATTGTCGCGTTTACGCGCTATTACTGCGGTCAAATTAATTTCGTGGCGCAGAGATCTAATCAATTTAAATTTATTCTAGACAGCAATGTTACTTATACCAATTCTGGTAATTCATTTTTCTAATATCCATATCTTGCTTGTTAAATACAAACTTCTTGTTAAATGTTTTAAACTAAATATTTTGATATCATCAGCTCAGGAAAGTGCAATAATTCGCTTAACACCAGAAGGTTCAAGATACTTTAAAAATCTCTCAGATTCGAAGCGTATTCAATTCGCTACTGAAATGTCTCAAGATCTATCAAGTGTAATTCCATGCGATATAAAACGTATTGCAACAACAAGTAATTATCAATTTGATGATCATAACCAAGTATTATTACGAATTGATATCAAAAATTACGTTAAAAATTCAACGACGGAAAGGATTCCATCAAAAGTCGTAGAGGATTTAGATACTTTGATTAAAAATAGAGATGTTACTAAAGTGTCTCGTGAATTTTCCACTTCTATGCTGGATCCTTCTTTTGGAAGTCAAACTACTCGTGAGTTTATATATATATTATGTATGTAATTATATTACAATACGACTTGATTAATTCGTGACTTGATCACGTGTAAATTAAGTTGTAGGCTATTAATGACATTAAAGTTTTAACGTAAAACTTTGTATATTCCTTTGTTAGAGGATTTATGGGACAAGTATAAATCCTTATTATGGGGATTACTCGTTTTGGTGGGCATATTGTCTATCCTTGTCTGCGTATCATTTTCAAGACATAAAAGGGTAACGTTTTTCATCATTTTTCATAATAAACCATGGGTTTCATTATTTATAGCTTTTAAAATTTACCATTATTGGGTAAAATTCTCAATTTTCATACCCATTACTTGTAAAAATTTTAATTTTCATAGTATTTTTTTTTATAAAATGGGTTAAATAATCGATAATTTTAAGAAGCGATACTTAATGAAATCTAAAAAAAAAAAATTATATATTGAATATTTTATTAATTCAATGTCATTCTGGTTATCATGAATTTTTGGTTTAAATAGGGAAAACATTGTGCTATATTTATGTTTACGTTTCTAGCCATTGATTTCGTGTTAGATATATTATTTGTAATATTTCATGGTCAAGACCTGTATTGGTTATATCCTACAAGGTATATCACACTCAATAATGCGTTTTAATTAGTTGCATAAACTTTATTATAATCACTAATGTTCATTTAATTTTTCTTTATATAATAGTGTAATATTTTTAACAATTCCAATAATCGTAAATTCAGGATTCACATTCATATTAATATCTAGAGAAATATCGAAAAATAAGAAATTTCGATCATGGTGGTATCGTAGTAGTAAAACAGCCTTGTTATTCACTATTTTAGCCGGTGCAGATATTGATGTTTTAAATATTTTGTCATCTGAATGTGGTCGCCTCGAAGAATTAAGCGCTCCATTTAGTATAAATGCCATGAAACGTATTAGGTGGTTTAATGTTATTTCAGTCATCATTGAAGATATACCACAGCTCATTATTTTGGTGAGTATTATTAAAAGTTGATTATTTAACAATTCCAATTTTTAGAGAATGTTTCTTAAAACTATTTTCGCCCATCATCTAATTTATCTTTAAATAAATTTATTTCATGTAAATAGACATTGTATCATATATACTCAATAATACCGAACATAATACCAATAATAGCATTATCAGCAAGTTGTATAATCCTGTTATTTAAATTGGCTTGTTTAGTTTATTCGTCAATATTACTTAGACAAAGGATAATAGATGAGCATATTCCAGATAAACCAGATAGTCCGGGTAGTAGTGGAAAAGAAAGTGAAATATCTCAGGAAGTTCGTCATGAATATCTTACCATAAAAGATGGTGTACCAGTTGTTTCATATCCCAGGGATGAGGATGAAATATCAATTAAACGTGTTACATCGGCACCTGTTGAAGAGAGTATTACTAACATTGAAGGAAAATATGGAGAAATTGGTGAGACATTAAAAAAAACACAAACCTTGCCTAAACGAAAATCAGATTCCGGAATGATTGGGTCAACAGAATCTCCAACTACATCAGGACCTAGACTATCAACTACTAGCACTAGTGGTACTTCAAGTGTTTATCAATCAAAAATGATAGAAAAACTTGATCCAACACCATAACAGATTGTTTCATCACCTCCAAAAAGTACATTAAAAAAAAGCAAAAGAAATATTTTCATTTATTGGTGGTGAAAAATCTAAAAAGACTATGGCTTCAAAAGAGGTAGCCGATAAAGGAAAAGGCACAGGATCTGAGGGAAGAAGGTTGTGAGCGTAAAGATTATGAATCAGAGGATAATTATTAATAAAAAAAACTAATGACAAAAATGGCAGACATATATCATTGCATAAATTGTAAATTTATTTCATTTTGGAGTTTGGGCTATTTACACTTACTTAGTTTGTATTTTTAGTCTCATATAATAGTAATATTTCTTTTAATCACTTTGTTATGCATTTTTATAAATTATGTTCCCGAAATAAGGTAATACAGTGAGCAAAGTCAAAATTTCAAACCAAAGTTACGAATTAATTCCCTTTATATACACATTTTTCATTTAAAAAAAGCCTGTACCGAATTTCTTCGATATTTGTATTTAACGTTAATAAAAAAAATTCCATCAATGTTCTATAATAAAATAAATCTTAATATAATACAATGTGATCTAAAGTTTAATTTCAGCGAGTGCATTTTGTTTTTATACACAATAGCTTCAAGTTCAAGATTTAGTATAAAATCTCTTTTAATATACTGTTATCTAATCCATGAAAATGTATTTCTCTATTTTGGCAACTTGAATAAATTGAAAGTCTGACTCATGCAGTGATGGTAAATGACCTTTGATCAAAAAAATTTAAAATGATCCAAAGTTATCAAATAATGATCAAGTCTTTGTCATTTACGCATGAAATAATTTTATTGGTCGGATAACTAATATAAAAGATTATCGTAGCTATACACTGTATAGACTTGCCTTTTTCTATTGTCAACTTCTGTACACTTCCATTTTAAGTAATAATTTTTTATAATAACATATATAAATTTGTATATAAATATATAAATTTGTATATAAATATATAAATTTGTATATAAATATATAAAATTTGTATATAAATACGTATATAAAATTTGTATATAAATATATAAAATTTGTATATAAATATATAAAAATGTATATAAATATATAAATTTGGTTATGTTACTTAAAAAAGTTCTACGTAATGAAGAGGTGATACGTAAGGGCTAATTTGATTGATAAAATATGAGGATCAAATTGGCTGATTTTTGAAATCAGGCCATGATCAGTAATCGATTAATTTCTCTAGCTAAAGTTAAAACATCACTGATACAATTTGCGACAATTACTACGTAATTAAGTATCCAGATCAAACGTGTTTTATACATCCGTAATTTGATACATTAATTACAACGAGGGATGCGTACATGTAAAGATATATGCATTCATAAAGGTGTTATTGTATACGTATGTAAAATGGTTTATTCCTGTATTCTTGCATAAAAAGTACATATCGTATAGCGCGGACCAATAGTATTCCTGTATAAAAATACTATTAAAAAATTTTATGGCGGAATGCAAAATACCCAAGGGCATATTTAGAGATGGCGTAGAAACTACTGCGGCACCTCAAAGGTATTTCGCCATTGATTTTGATAGGAAATTGCCATAAAATGTTTGGCAACTTAATACGTACCTAAAATAAGCATCAACAAAAAATCTAACAATCTAAAAATAGAATTCTTTAGACGGAGGAATCAAAAAACAATATGATTTTATTATTCTAATCGGATCAATTAAAGTCGCATTCCGTTGTGTAAAGAATTCTATTTTTAGACTTGCTGTTTTTTTTTCATTTTGCCGTACTCCAATACGTATTTTAAATAGTTCCTACGTCATGTACTGATATATCGTATGTAAAAAAAAAATTTCATTGGGGTGACGTCAAAGAAAAACCAGACTCTAAGCTTTAACTAGTGTTAGTAGTCGATCATTATTTATCGACTTGACTAAGTCAATATCTAAAAATCGGCTTAGCCGGCTAAGTAAAGTCGATTATCTTTGGTTAATCTTCGGAAGTTATCGTGTCTCTTATTTTATGTTCGTTGATTTTCTTTTTGTAAGTTAAACTACCGTCGATTTCTTGGAAAATCGGCGGACTAAGCTGGCTAAGTTGATAAAATCGACTATAAACACTATCTTAACGTCCTAGCGTTACCAACCTAAAAAATTTCATTAAAAAAATTTCGCTATTATATTAGGGATAGTTTTAGCTAATAAGTTAGGTTAAAAAAGCTTTGGTAGTACCAAAATTTCACGAGGAATACTTTTTGTTAGTGCACAGAAGGTGGTAATTAACCAGCGAAATTTTTTAGGTTGGTAACGCTAGAAAAGTTGCGTCACTTACAAGCTAGTGTTACCAAATTAAAATATTTTGCAATTAATCAAAATTTTTAAATTTTCTAAACTTCTAGAAAAGGTTTCTCAATAACTACCTGATCAAATTTGATAAATTATTTTTTACATATTTATTTATTTTATAATACTAATTTGTAAATACTTTATTGAATTAATGTCAGATTAATATACAATAATTTTTACAATATATTTGTTATTATAAACACTAATATGATATTATATTCATATTTTTTTTATTATATACAAATATATTAACAATTAATGATATCATAATGTATAATTATAATGAAAAAGTTAAACTATTTCTCAAAATCATAAGCAAAAATAATAAACAAAAATTTAAATAAATAAAAATAATCAAATAGGTTACACAATAGTTATAAAAACAGTAAAAATAATATAACACATTAATATAAGACAAGATAAAGTACAAAAAAAAAATAATATTTATAACAAATAAAATACTAAAGTAACAGACCTTTGATTTAATCTGTAACTTTATGTTTAAAACAGCATAACAGTTAAAAATAAAAGGTTATAATATTAAAAACAAAGCTATCAACAATAAGGGAACTGACACTTATTATATAAATATAGCTCCTTCTTCAGACCCAGGTATCTGAAACCTCCTATAAACCCAGATTCAGGTATTTGGAACCTTCTAGAAATCCCTTACAGACACAGAAAATTTTCATAATGGTTCTATATGGTGCAGTAACCAACAGTTCTTACAGCATTATGGCATAATGGCCTCATGTGGCATAGTAATTAATAGTTTTAACAGTTGTTTTTCTAACAAGATTATGTTATAACAGTCCTACATGGTGCAGTAATTAATGGTTTTTCCTTACAATAATAATAAGATAATGGCCCAGAAAACTGATACGGCCTAAGCTATATAAGATAATGTCATACTTACAGCAGAGACAGTGACTGATCTCTCTCGCCTGTGATCAATTACAAATTAAATTATTTACATTGGATTCAATTGTGATGGATATAATCCCTCACCAGTTTGAATATATGTGTAACATTACCAGTCTCTGCTGTTTGTTGTACTAGTTACCTGCTATGACATAGTCATGATTCATTTATTTCATGTAACCTTACTTTTGGGCTCAATTACTGAATTAAATTACTATCAAATCGATATTTGATATTATTTCAGATCAGAGTTTACTAAACATTATAAGGCCATTTAACAGATTTAATAATAACTGAACTGACAGTACGATAAAAATTCTTTTTATTATTTTGGGTCTTGTCTTTCGGTGGGAGGCTTAGCTGGATCTTGGGTATGTGCGTAAATTTATTTTGTAAAGTTTCGAATTAGTTATTATGGCAAAACTATGCTAGCAAATACTAAAGTTGATGAAAATTACTAATGAGTTGTAAACTTTGGCTATTAAAAAAGATATCAAATTTTAACTATTTTTAATTTATAATATATATAAATCTTGAAGTCTTTGAAATCTTTAGATCATATATATTCTACTATTGATAATGGTGAAAATTTTTTGCTGAATCACTAAAACTAAATCAACTAATAAAACAAAAAGGTTTCTTTGATGGATGTATGCTATTTAGTCGAAATTTAACACTTTAATTGATAAAAGATCTTAGGTAAAATATAATGATAAGGCACTAAAAATTTTGTTAAAATTTTGCTATGATTTTCTATATTTTAGAATATTACTATAAAAATTTATTAAATAAAAAAATTAATAAATGAAAAATTTTTATTTAGTTTTTTGCTTTTTTGCCATTGTTACAGTTTTTTTTGGCCTTTCTAGTTCACGTTTAGTCAGACAGACTTCTTTTAAATGTTGATTTTTTTTATGAGCAGCAACCATCAAGACTGTTGGGAAATATTTCTCACAAATAGGACAGGAGTGTTTTGTATAATTATCAGCTATGGGGGAGCAATGCTGGTTGTATCCTGGTATTTTTGCTTTATCAAGATACTCTAATAGATGTATTGAATTAATATAATGGCTGTCTTTTCCTATTACAAAAGGGGAAAAAAAACCATCATTTGAGGCAAGAAGGCTAGCAGCCTTCTCGTATCGCTTAGGGGAGCAATATTTGATATCATTACATTTCTTTATATCTAAAAAGTATCTGCAAATCCTTGTATAAATTTCTATCCATTCTTAAGGTATATCATCTGAAATCGAGGTACTTTTCATATTGATATATTTAGTCACGACAGGCTTTCCGAATATATTGTCATATTTTCACAGGTCACAAAGAAGGTTTCTTGCATATTTAAAATTTTTCTTTGCTAACTCTAGGTCAACAATTTTGCCCTGTGAGTCAAGATGGATGTCATGTTTGTTAAAAGGCAGGACTATGCCTGCAAGTTTTGTTGAAAGGGATGTCATACTTCTCTCAACAGGGTTGTATGATGAGTGACCTAGAGTAATTAATAGAATAAACTAATGTTTAGTTAACTAGTTATTTAATATTTATCAGTTGACTAAATTTTTTAATTAATAATTTTGGCAAATTGGTAGTTAATCAAATAATTTTAGTCGATTCTAGATCACTAACCCAGAGCATGAGTCCTAACGGTCAAATAATTGAGGTCAAAAGAGCGAAATATGGCACAGTATTGAGAGATGTTTTTCAAATATCAGGGATTTTCATCTGAACCTCCATCTACAAGAAGGACCCAGATGGGTTTGATTTTATTATCAACCTTTAACATATTGTCAAAACAGCCATTGTTCACTAATGAATGTAGATCATTCATATGGGTTATCGAGCTTGTTCCTATCTTATATTGTGGACAGATGTATATTGACAATTGGCCACTACGAAGCATATCGTTTGTATCACTTGGGTCAATAATTAAATAAACAGATGAAACAAGTTTCTGTTGTGAACCAACAGGAAAGTTGTAGTCTGAAATGATAACTGGCTTATTGATGCTTTGTATGGCTTGGAAAGTTCTGCTGACTGCAGAAATGCCAAAAAAAATTTTGGCTTTATCATCTTGTAACACAATTACTGAAAAGATCGGAAATAGAGATGCAAACTGTTTTACTGCCTTTACAAAGGCAAGACAATAATGATTATCTTGATGCTCTGCTTTTTCATTTCTTAAGATAGTTGCGACCTGAATTAGCATTGTTAACAGATAAAAAATTAGACAAGATATGAACATGTTACTAAAAGTTTGTTATTTTTTAAATAAAATGATTTTATATAATTTTTAAACTATATAATGGTAGTGTATGAACATGTTACTAAAAGTTTGTTATTTTTTAAATAAAAATGATTTTATATAATTTTTAAACTATATAATGGTAGTGTATGAATGTTTATAGATGAATATATACAAACCAAAAAAAAATAGCAAATATCAAATAAAGATTGGATTTGAATTTGAAAAATTCTACATTTTATATAAATTCGAATTTCAAATTCGAATTTATATATGAAATGTACTGTATTTTCATGAAATAATGGGCATAAGCATTATTTTGAAAATTGAATCATTTTAAAATAGCGTACTTTAGTTTCGAAATAACCCTCGAAGTAATGCACTTCATGTATTGTATATACTAGCAAATTTGATATGTGCATTAGAGTTCAAAAAACTGATCCTTTTTTCAAAATAACACACATGAGTGTACTCAAAATAATGTGTGTGGCTTGAAATAATGCATAGGTGGGTGTTATTTCGCGAAAATACAGTAGAATTTTTCAAATCTGAAAACCCAACCTCTAATATCAAAAATATACATTACTTAACTGAACATTAGTCAGATGATGGTATTTTTTTGCTGCTATTGAGTTTGAATAACGTGGCAGCAGGTAATTGTTCACAGTAGTTCGAAAAAGATGTTCATCATATTTTGACTCTAGTACTTCTTGCAAGTGATTTACCATTCGAACTTTAATAACTTCTTTTCTTCTTTTGCTATTAGCAGCCCTGAACTCTATGCTTTCGTGAATGTGCTCTAATAAGTCCAGGTATTTGTACAGAAGAGGAGAACACCCAGGCAAGTCATACTTTATGACTTGCTAATGCTTCTTTAAATTTTGGTCTTTTTTTTCTCTATAATTGTGCTGGTAATCTGCATTTTTTTTTAGACTTTGGATTCTTTTTTTCTCAATTTGGAGAACATTCTTAAGGTCTCGTATACGATCCATTAGCTCACATTTGGCTTCCAAATAGATGGTTGAATTATAGTTCTTTTGATACTTTGCAATTTCATCATTTATTTTAATGATTATTTCTTTTGCTTTATTCTGTGCTGCAGCATTTGGTGATAGTGCACCAGGAACAATGACTTTCTCAATTATCCTATTTTGGGTTGAAGTTTCAGTATTGAAATATTCGATAGGGTTTAAATATTCGGTAGTAGAGGCAGCATTTGCAATGAGGTATTCTATAGTATTCTCAATTTCATGTTTTGGTTTTTTCTTAATTTTATTCCATGCATTAAGAGCTTCTTTGCACACTAAATCTTTCGAATATTTAGGATCTGCAGTGCTGATCATACGATTGTATGCAAAAGCATTGCAGAATTTTTGGTATTGATTTGTTTCATTTTTGTAAATATATAATTTGTTGTATTCTAATGTATTTGAGACTCACATTTTAAGAAGAAATAAAAGAGAATAGCAAAAAGAGAGAGAAAAAGAAAAAAAAAAGATCAGAGATCACTATTAATTATTGGAATAATAGATCAAATAAAGAAAAAATGTAATTGAATGAGTAATCTTGAGTGAATTAGTAACTGGTATCATGGTTTGAATTCAGTCATATTTATAGCGAGCGAAACAATTTATTAATTATTAGCTATGTGTTTTTGATAATTATTTTCAATAAAAGTTCATGCAAGAATGAGGGATTTTATTTATTTAAGTGGTTATAACAATATTCAGTTCATGTCTGCAGGTCTTATGTCTATCTAATGCATTTTATCATTTTTTTTAATATGATTTTAGTTATTATTTTTATAGTTATGGATTAAAGATACTTTCTATTATACTGGATGCACCTGGAGAAAATTTACACTGTAATAGTTTAACAAACAGGAGTACTGTAAGTTTTTCATTTTATGCATCCAAGAAATTTTATCTAAATATATACATCTTTTATTTAATAATTTAATAAATACCAATTTACATTCGATGTATATGAAGAAAGTTGTTAAATTACTCATTTTTATTTTATTATAGTTTAATATAATTTTATTCTTAATTTTTTCTTAATATTTTAATGGATAGATTATGTATCTAATATTACATTCGACATGATTAGAGTACTGATAGGTGGGGTAATGCTGCTGATTTTACATTTGACATGTTTGTAAGAAATATTATCTAGGTGTATCTGATACATCTGAAAGAATTTTTTAAATAAATATCCTATGCTAATGTGTTTATAATTAATTTTCTTTTTAGGTGAATTGTTAAAGCCAAGTATGGGCAGTGTTAGTTTTTGATGCAATATGTAGATCAATCTATGAACATAAATAGATCTGTTCCTGAATTAGTTTTATTCTTCTAACAATGTAAAAGGATGAAGATATTAATATTGCTTAATATCCTAGTGATTAGACTCAGTTGGTGATGGCCAGGTAACCTGAACAAGTAATTTGATATAATTATTCACATTTTTTATCCACTCACCAATAAAAACTATTATCTAGGCACAAATTGAGCTATTAAAAATAATTTCGGTGCTCCGATTTTAAAATTAAAAATTTATGTTTCATATAAAAGTTTTAAATTTATTAATTATATTTTTTTTTACCTAATTAATTATGCATTTTAAAGATTATTTTTTTTTAGATTTTTTATTTAATTTATTTAATTTAGATGTAAGTGCATATTTGATTAATTTAATTAGATAAAGGAATAAAAAGTTTCATTAGTAGAATTACAAACTTTATATGAAATATAAATTTTTTTTAATATACATATTTTATTAATAATTGTAAGGATATGTGTTTATTTATTTTATTGTTAATTTAATTTGAAAGTATAAAAAAAACATTTATTGATCGAAAAATTTGAAACAAACTATTCAGTACTTGATTTTATTTAATTATGTAAGTGTAAAGAATACTTATTAATTGATGTATTTAAATAAGTTATTTAAGTTCAATGAATATTTAATATTACATTATATCTCTTATTTAACTTTAATTTATTCATGTTAATTAATTTGGTAAGTACAATGAACATTTATTAATTTATACGTTTAAAATAACTTATTCAAGTTAAATATATACTATCATACAGATATTTCTTATTTAGTTTTGTTTATTCACGTTAACATATTCTGTAAGTGTTAAAAACATCTATTATTGCATTTATTAAATAATATATTTAAAATGTACTATTCAAATTGATAGATTATTATTACATGATACCAAATTTAGTTTAGTTGAGCTAACTTAGTAAGTACTTGTTATCAGTCATGTTGTAATAACTGATTATTCACTAGGATACTGCTTTTGTGATATGACTGAAGGTTAAGTCATAATGCGATATCTACTGTGAATAAATTGGCGATTATCAGTCACAATTTGACTGATAATACGCTTATCTGACATGTCTTATGTGAACCTCTTTCTAATACAAATACATAAATTTTTATTCACCTCTTAAGAGGTGATGAAAATTTGTGTATTGTATTTAAAGGTTGCCTAATAACTTACACAAAAATTGTTTAGTATTCACATAAGACATGTTGGATAAAGGATATTTATTAATCGATATATTTATCAATTGATGCATTTCAAATAAACAATTAAAATGATAAATATTTATCACACTTTATACTTGTCAGCAAAATTAAGGTAAATATAATAAAATAAAGAACATTTATTAATCGATTTATTTGAAATAAGATGTTTCAAGTTCATAAATACTTACTGCGTTTTGTTATATTTTATTCACTTTAATTTAGTTTGTAAATGCAAAAAGCATTTATTGAATATATACATATAATGGATACATATTATAATCCCTGTTTATTATTACACTTATTTATTCATATTTATTTATTTTTATTTTTTATTTTTTTTTTGAGTTAAAGTCTCTGTCTCTGGGAGTTGATGTTTTTATTCATATATTTGAACACAGGTGCCTCCAGGGGCTCCCTTACATAGAAGGTTACAACTAGCCACACGTGCACTTTTGGTGCCTAATTTAAATAGTCTGCCTATACATTAGTATACAGGTTCTACACTAGGTGCCATACCTGCAAGCCAACTACGGGTCTTGCCTATTTAAACCCTCTGCATATGTAG